TTTGACAAAGTCTCGCTCTGTTGCCTAGGCTGAAGTGTCATGGCATGATCTCAGCTCACTGCAACCTCCACCTCTGGGTTCAAGCAATTCTCCTGCCTCAGCCTCTCGAGTAGCTGGGACTACAGGCGTGTGCTACCACACCAGTTAATTTTTGTATTTTTTAGCAGAGACGGGGTTTCACCATGTTGGCCAGGATGGTTTCGATATCTTGAGCTTGCGATCCGCCCGCCTCGGCCTCCCAAAGTGCTGGGATTACAGGTGTGAGCCACCGTGCCTGGCCCAAAATCTTATTCTTTAATGTTCTAAAGAGCTTCACAGTATCAGAGGGTATCCTGATTTAATCTAATTATGGATTTTTAAATGATTGCTAGCTTAAAAAAATTCTTTATGATATCAAAAATGCTGTAATGAAACAATCTGGTATTTTAATTTTACTTTTATTTTATTTTATTAAAACAATTTGTTGAGACAGGCTCTTGCTCTGTTGCCCAAGTTGAAGTGCAGTGGCATGATCATGGCTCACTGCAGCCTCAACCTCCAGGGCTCAAGCTATCTTCCCACCAGTGCCTCCCAAGTGGCTGAGACAGCAGGTGCAAGGCTACCACACCTGGCTAATTTTTTGGTATTTTGTAGACACGAAGTTTTGCCATGTTGCTCAGGCTGGTCTTGAATTCCTGAGCTCAAGAGATCTGCCTGCCTCAGCCTCCTGGATTACAAGTGTTAGCCACCATGCCCAGAATTCTGTTTTAATTTTAGGAAGTATTTTCGTAGGACAATTTCCTACCAAAATTATATTGCTGTGGTAAAGGACAAGTATACAGTCCTTGGTATCCTTGGGAGACTGGGTCCAGGACCCCCCAAACAGCAAAAATCCATAGTCCCTTATACAAAATAGTTTATCTGCATATAACCTATGCACATCTTCTCATATACTTTATCTCTAGATTACTTACAACTTAATTCAATGTAAATGCTATATAAATAGTTGTTATATTGTATTGTTTAGGGAATAATGACCAAAAAAAAAGTCTGTACAAGTTCAGCCTAACTATATTTTGGATTGACATTTAGTTGAATTCATGGATGGGGGACCCATGGATATGGAGGTCTGACTGTACTGACTACTGATCAATATCTGGTCCCTAGTTTTTTTTTTTTTTTTTTTTTTT